AAGAGCAATCAATCACAGATAGTGCTGCAAACTTAATTTCCTAAAGTGATAGGCACTTGATGTAAAAAGTTTCGCAATTGAAATGTTTTTGCGAGTTGTATTCGATAAGAAAATGGTACAAAGCGATATTTTGTGCCGTGTGCGGGGTGGCATGTGGCACTATATATAGCACTCACCTGCAGCGTGGAACTTCTGCTCGCCATTTGGCTGGATAACGGAAATCTCTTTTGGCTGCTCATCAAAATCGGGGATACAGCCACTTTCGGTTTTTAGTGCCGACTTAAATTTTTGTTTGTATTTCTATGGATTTTCCAGACTGTCTGGCTGGGTTTTTTCGTCTTATTTTTGAAAAGAGCAAATGTTTTCAGCAATGGAAGTACCCTTATGTGTCCCTGTTGTTTATGTTGTTGTTGCCGCTGTTGCTGTTGTTGCTCTAACGGTTGCCAAAGCAACAACAAAAAAACTTGGCCAACAGGGGCGGCTAAAAGCAAGAACAACAAAAACATCAGGTGTGAGAAAGCAACACACACACACACACATACACATGTGTGCACACATAGGGCAGGACTCGCCAAGTGTAAATAGAGTAATAAAAAAATGTAGGGAAATGAAACAGGAAAAGCATGCGGAAGAAAAATCGAAGCAAGTCCTGCGAGAGAAAGAGAGAGCGGCTCAACGAGCAAAGGAGAGAGAGAGAGAGAGAGAGAGAGCGCGTAAACTTTCGCCTTTTTTGTTTATTTCACAGACACACACACACGCACACACTTTTCCAGGATGCGGCTTTTTTAAATTGACCGACTCGATAAATTTGCATTTCTCTTTGCCACTCATTTATTGCTCTCCCTACTTATTTCGGTTTTTATATCCAGCGTCATTTTTGTTATTTTTAAACACGCACTTTGCGCAACTAACTGTAAATGTACCGTACACCACCCGCACACGAAGTCTGCAAACTGGAGTCGTTCAAATTTCTCGAAATAATTCTCTAACTCCAGCTGCATTTGTTCAACAAACTTGTTTATTTAGGTATATTGTTTGCTGGCTTTTAAGCCAATCTCCGTTCAGTTTATTTGGTACTTCCTATTTTGTTGAAAAATTCAGACGAACCAGCTGCGCGGACGAAAATCGAGCAATAACATAGAGCGTGCTCCGCAAAGCGTTTAAATACACTTTTCTTTTAGGGTCGTTCGAACTCCCGCAAGTTCGAAGCCTTGAGTTCGAGGCAACAACAGTGCGCAGTGGTTCGAATGCATAACATTCTCACGATTTCTGTAATCGTATTTCGTATGTTAGAGGCTATAACATATAAAAATTATAATTAAAATAATATAAATAATTATGTTTTTTTTTTTAAATAAAAATTGGCAGCTGTGACATATTAATTATTTTTAGGTTAAGACTAAATAGTATATGTGTGCTATTTTTTTTTTATAAATAATATAAAAAAGCTTAATTCTTCAATTTAATGACTTGGAGTTTCATGCTGATTTATTTACTGAATTTAACAAACTCACTACAAAAATGTTGCTGTGTATTCTGTCAAGTGTCTGCTGTAAATGTTTACTAACAGTAGAAGTCTGCACACCCGCTGCGCTACTACTGTTACTTGCGTGGGGGGCAGCGATGTTAACAGTGCTGTCTCGCTTTCGCAAAACAACTGTTGTCGTTACAGAGCTGCGTTAAAAGAGGAACTGTGGGTACCATTATCAATGATACAATACAGAATTAGGTGAATGATTTTTTAAAGGCAATTTAAACAGAATAACGGGGCCAGATTAAGTTCAGTTTACTAAACAATATTACCCATTTATAAGAGGTTAACAGATGTCAATAAAATCATGTTGAGAAACAAATTAATTGATCTGGATTATAAATTAATACAAAAGATGCGAAGCAAAGAATTTCTTTAGTCAAAAACTAATGAAATATATTTTATTTAATAATTGAATTAATTTATTCAAAAATTGAACACTTGCACTTGGTAAAAAAAGCTTATAATTAACTTAAGGCTGCAACAGATTCATCGGAGTATCCTAAAGCTATCGATCTCAAAGTAGTTTGTAAAATCATCAGAAATAGAAGGCCGATGCCGCAATTCCATCAACACAAAATTGTTCATTGGGCTTAGTATGCAGTTCTTTGGAGTGGCCGATATGGCAGTTTGATAAAGTGTATGACTTAAATTAGCTACTCTACGGATCGATGAAGGAAATCATGATGTAACGCGTGCCATTCGTCACAAGCAGTCCCTCGTGGTAGTGAGTCAATCGCCCCGGGTGCATCAGCATCCATCCCTTCTTCGTCTCGGTCACGGAGCAGTTGTACCGAATGAATCGACAGCCACCGCCCTGGTAGTCAATACCCGCCCGGTTCATCGCAATGTTGATGGTGTACGTGGAGGAGTCGTGGTGGGGACGCAGAGAAGGCTGTTCATCCGGCCGATAACGCACCATGAAGTTCATCAGCGCGCGTGGAGGCTACAAATTAGTGGGCATATTAATACACATTCCTCCAAGGTATATAACTTTATATTCAAGAAATCTATAGTAATATGTAGACTCACATTGTGAAAGTAGCCGGTGAAGGCGCGCTCCTGCAGCGGACGAACGAACAGCTGGAGAAATTTAAGATAGAGCCGCTCCAGGCCCACCTGCTTCATGTGGATGTCCCTGGTGGGCACCGCCTCGTAACCGCCCTCCAGCCGATTGTCGCTGTTGCTGCCGTCCGACCAGCCGTTATGCGCCTCCATGATGGCCACCAAATCATCGCAGAACGCGTCCGACACGATCTGGAACCAATAGACATCCGGGCACGGCTGTTGCAGCTTGTTGCTCTCGTTCAGCTGGAGTGAGTAGTTCGGGTGTATGTACTTTTCCGTCCAATCGATCTCGTTGCTGAACAACGTATAGAAGTCCGGACGTGTCACCGTAGTGTTGAAGTCATCGGCATTAACCAAGTGACCGAATATGCGCAGGTTGCTGGCGTACATGAAGATACCCTGGGAAGAGGAGTGGACACATCAGTATTAGCCAACAAAACACGACTTTCTACCACACACTTACCGCATTCCGGAGTGACTCACACATGGCCATGTCGGGATCGAATTCCTTGTGCTTGTAGGAGATGGCATCAAAGGCGGTATTCTTCACCAGATATATGCTCGTTACATGGGGCACGTTGAACATACCACTGCAAATGGACGCGAAATACAAGTGATAAATGAGTTAGTCAAAACAGGGCGAGTGATAAAGGCGAGAGCGGAGTGATCGCGATGCCCAGCGGATTTGCAACAATGTTGCGAAAATGGAAAGTGACGTCGCACCGCCGAAAGCCCCCAACTAGATCCACTTAATTCAATAAAAACGCTCACATTGGAGCGGAGTGGATGGCGTTCTGTTCGGATGTCGCAAGCGCAGTTTGAAAACAACATTCACCGCAGGCGATCTGAATCTCGGCTCGACAATAATGCCTCGTGGCATCTGTAATCTTAATCGGATCGTGCTCCTCTGCCTATGCTTTTTGATTTTCGGCGATCTCATCTATATAGCCGCCCAAAGTAAGCGATCTAAATAATGTAAATTAAGCTAAACATCTGATATTGCCACAGGAAGCACTGCGGGAAAGACGGAGCGTCGCAACTACACGGGCAAAAAACCCGTGGTCATCCAGCACCGATCACAGGATGCGGTCAACTATTACGATCATGAAAATGTGAGTCTTGACCCACTGACAAGTTTCATTTGTTCTCCACATATTGACATAACTTGTTGCAGGGCGCCAAGATCATAAAGTCTTCGCATTTCGAGTTGGACTACACCCTGGGTCGCAAGATCACTTTCTTCTGCATGGCTCAAGGTGAGAGTAGACTATCCAGCAGTTAAGTCACCAAGTACTGACCTTTTCATATTAGGCAATCCGCGTCCGACCATCACCTGGTTCAAGGATGGCGCAGAGCTCTACCAGCACCGATTCTTTCAGGTAACTTGACAAGTGGATATTTTAAATATAATCTCATGGATATACGTAACTTGATTATACAGGTACACGAATCTCATATAGAAGCGAATATTGTTAAATCTAAAATGGAAATCGATCCAACCACTCAAATGGATGCTGGTAAGTTTGGCCATCGGGAGCTCAATTATTTTTATAAATCACTACCATTATTTTCAGGCTTCTACGAGTGTCAAGCGGACAATATCTACGCCATCGATCGTCGAGGTTTTCGCACGGACTACGTTATGGTTAACTTTTGAGAATCCCCCACTGGTCACCCATTTAAAACACCCTTTGACCCAGTAAAGCCGAGATGTAACTATAAACTACAATGCTTTTAACACAATTAAATAAAAAATATTTAAAAATACATTTTTGCGTCTCGGATTATGGAAATGTAAGGTCTATTTCAATCCGACCTTTCTTCTTCCTTGTGTGCATCTGTGTGAGTATCTGTGAGTGCCAAAGTACATAGGTGTGTGCGCACAAAGCCGACAAATTGACTCAATTACCCAATTCAAGTGATTTTTTTGCATTTATTTTATTAAAATGTGTGAAAGCAAACCAAACAAACCGAGGCTTTTTGGTTCTAAAGTGTTGAGTGCTCTATAGCCTTCAAAATGCTACAGTGGTGCAAAACCACACTAACCAGGAATTCAAAAAATGTTTCTTTTAAGTATAATAGCAATTTTTCAATTCAATTGGCTGCTTCACTTCTTTTTAGCGAACCAAAATGTATAAATTGGCGAAATATTTGAGCACTACAACCCAGTTTCTCCAACTACCGAGGAACTTTCCCTGAAAGAGCACCATTGCCACTGTAAACTAGACCGAATCCCAGCAAGACACATGGAAAGGGGTGCCATGGGTTACGATGGCGAGCGATATTAGCAAGCGTCCAAATCAAATCTAGCTAGGGAATTGAGTGAAATGTGGAAATGCGGCGATGAGAAAAGTGAACCCAGAACAAAAAGCCGCGAGCGGCGATTTTCGAGAGCAAACCAAACGGTTTAAGTCCGCCGGACAATTGTGGCAAATTAGATGAGCTGAGCAGAGTGCTGCAGAGTCTGGCCGAGTGGATCAGTCACCGATCAAACGAGATTCGCACAGCAACGCCACCAGCAGCAGAAAAATATAGCGATAGTGATAGTGATCTCCGCCAGCAACATATCCCATTATCCGGAGAGTCATGCAGGTTAAGTGCTTGATCGTCTGCCTCGCTTTGGGGCTATTAATGCTGGCCACGCCCATTTGCGAGGCGCGCCGAGGGCGTGGTCGTGGACGAACCAAGTCCAGGGTGCAGATCGGACTGCCAATTACCGGAAAATATCGCGATCCGGAGTCCGATCAGTACTACAACAACAATAATGTAAGTAAATGGGAAATTTGTTGCAGTTCTCTATTCATTTGTTTGCCCCTTTTAGGGCGCCAAAATCCTTCAAGCCTCCCACTTTGATCTTGAGTACGTTCTGGGCCACAAGATCGCCTTCTTGTGCGTGGCCAAGGGCAATCCCCGACCGCATATCACCTGGTACAAGGACGGGGCGGAGATCTACCAGCACCTCTATATGCACGTCCACGAATGGCGCATCGGCGACGACAAGGTCAAGTCGAAGATCGAGATTGACCCTGCTACGCAGATGGACGCTGGACTTTATGAGTGCACCGCCGACAACATGTACTCCATCGATCGGCGCAGTTTTAAGACGGATTTCTCCATTGCCTTCGACTGATCACCGCAACCCATTATCACTTGTATTATTTCAATTTTGTTGCACTTGGCAAAACATAACAAATAAATTTAAAGTGAATCTTAAGCATTTTTTTGTGGAATCTGTCAGTCTCACATGAAGTTAGTCTAAAGAAATATATACAGCATACATTTATGTGAAAATCCTATGTACAGAAAGTATTGTTGGAAAAATGAAATAAATTACTGTACCTAAAAACTAATTAAAGTTTCCCTACCCCATAAACGTATAAGCCCGGGATACCCTATAGTTTTTACTTACATAAGTTCCCGCTTTACAATGTCCACGTAGTCGTGCGACCTAGCATAGTAGCCACCCTCGGAAAGGGCGCCCCAGAAGTTGCTCCACAGCTCATTGTGCTTGGAAAAAATCGGAGCCACAAATTGCCTGCAAGGATATCAATATTTTTAATTTGGGGAAACGGATTAAAGTGGCCTTAACCTACTTGTTCAGCCTGAGCAGCTCCCGTAGAACCTCGCTATCGTCGATGTGCGCATCTGCATCCACGAAGAATATGTAATCACTTTGGTGGAGTCGAGCCTTGTCGCTGAAAAATTAAGTAAACCATAGTGAACCATAAGACAAGATTCGGGTCATGGGTTTATATAACATGAATTGAAGCTTCGCAAGTGTATAAATCCATTTCGTATTTAAAATAATTAATTATAAGACTTACAGTGCCAACTGCCTGCCTTGGCGCTCATCCAGCTCGTCAGTGGACAGAGCAAACTTGGCAGTAGCGTATTCTTTGGCATATTTGTTTACAAACGACTTGATGTCATCGTCGTGAAATGCCACATTGCTGTAGATGAGCAAGTGGAGTTTTTCCTTGGGATAGTTTAGGCTCTCGATGCCTTTCAGAAACTGGTCAAAGAAGGGTACGGCTTGCGTGACCATCAGGGCTACGGAAATCACAGGTAGGTTTGTCTCCTAAAAAAACAGATTGCATATTAATGTAAGCATGTGTGTAAGCATATACGAAGTCCCTTACTTCCAAGTCCAGGAGATTTTCCTGGCACAATAGGCAGACGCCACTGAACGTCCTGGCCAAATAGTTGCTATATGCATTCAGATCCACTTTGCTAAGTCCATTGCCGTGGATGATGGCCGGCGTCGTCATGAAATCCACATTCTGTAGGACGCCCTGATTGCTCTCCAGATCCACTTTAAGCTTCACATCGTTCTTGGCACCATGTAGATTTTGGAATAGGCGCGATTTTACATCCAGCTTCAAGCCCAGCTTGGTGCGTTTGGCCTCGTCGAGGAAGATCTTGGTGAAATACAGTTGATCGTCGGCAGTGTCTTCAATTGGATCCTCCAGCAGAGCGAAAACTTGTGGTGCATAACCCATGAAGGCGCCCGAGTTGAGGAATCGCGAGGCCTTGCCCTCCACTTCGGGATAGTCGTTGGCCAGACTTTTATCGGGCCAGCAGAATTTCTCGGCTGAGAAGAGTATCTTGGCACCCGCCTCCTTGAACTTCTCAAAGATCTCGTCCAGCGTGGTGGTGATGATCACATCGTAGCTAAAAAGTAAAACTTCTTTATAAAAACACTCCTTTTAATTTTTTCTTCAATTCAAACCTATCGGTGAAGAGTATGATTGTCTCGGGATCATTTTTATACGGAGCAATAGCTTCGCGCAGAAGATTGAGCTTGAATCCGCCGCCGGGTCTCTGCATATCCCCTCCTTTCCATTCCTCGCCCAAGCCAAGGGTGGTCACCTTTTAGAGATTAAACAATATTTTAAATGCTAACCGGTGATTTGATGCGTATCTCTAAATCTCTGACAAGAAACTGGACTATCAAGCTACCAAAATCTGTTATAACTGTTATTCCACGAGCTTATTTTATACAAAATATCGTACTGCTTACCTATTATAATATAAACTATTTAATAAATAAGGTAAAAGGTTAATAACAATAAGTTCCCATTGTTTTAGGCTGATACAGACAAACATATTACACAATTCTAACTTTTCATTAAAGGAACCCAAAAGGAACCTACATTACAAATTTCATTCATTTAGCAACGCTGCGGGATTAAATATCTTGGGTCGCACAGTTCTTCAAATACGAAAAAAAAAAGTGTACACATATAGAAATTCAAAACAAAGGGGGAGATCAGGTTCAATCCATAAAAAAGCCGGCTAAGCGAGCTTATCAGCACATTTTGTTGTCGGGCATATATTTTTGAACAAAAAAAAAAGGAAAAATTCTAAGCCGGCCGACAATACAAAAAGTGTCACACTCACTGGACCTGATAAGCGAAATCTATCTCCCACCAGCTTGCCGCAGAAAGTTCTAAGCTATCAATAAACCGGGAACCAAGTCCCAAAGTATTGTGCTAATTACCCCCGGCGACTGCACCGAATCTGCTTGGACTACGTGATTTCAACATATGTGCACTATATGTTGTATATATACAGCGTGTATGTCGTTGCCCCGCAATGTCCAGCCAATCTCGGTGTTCCACATCAGAAAATCGGACGCCAGCGCCGGATGCTTGGGTAGCGTCGTATATGTATATAGCTACTATACTATATGCTAAACAGACATTTGAATAATACAATGTTGCCTAAGTGTGCCAAGCCGCCGGGCAAGTCTTGAAACTTCTAAGTTTCTTATCTAGCATAAATGCTATGTTCCAGCTTATATACCCGTTTCTTGAAAATTCGATTGTTTGAGAGTGTCGTCAAAATAGAAATTCATCAATTAAAACAATCAAAACTAATTTGCATATAAATAGTTGCTCGCAGATGTTCTATAAAACATACAAGTTTGCCAATTTCGGTCAGACATAACTGTATTTAATGTTTTCCATTTATTATTCCAGATGGTGGCATGCTGTCTTGATCTACTGTCAAGTTTCTTTGCTCTAACCGCAATCCACAATATCTTAATATACCAGATCATAGATTTTAGATAGCCAGTGTAAAACAACTTCTTGTCACGACTTCGAAATGCTCTAAATTATACGAACTCTACTTTTAATAGGGCTCTCACCTCGATGTCGTAGACACGTGCAGATCGAAAATATCTAGTATAACCATCGGTGGGTTCAGTGGCCACAGTGAACACTTTGATTTTCTCTGTAAATGAACACATGAGTTTTATATTTAAATCAATCGCAAAGATTAGTAGAGAGAAAGTTATATTAAGTAAAGTTATAAAGCTAACTTAATTTGGATAGTTACTCATAAATAATTGTTAAACTATTGCTCGTTGAACTTGCGTATGCTCAACTCTATTCCAATATTGCTTCTAATTAGAATACCATATGCATACTCTATTGTTTCAAGTCATTAAATTATTGTCATTATTTTTATCATTGTTTCAAGTCATTAATATGTCAGACAACAAGTTAAGCTTGTTTAAAGCTGTCTAATCTCTGAATTTGTTAACGAACTGGCTATTTGAGAACCATTTTGTATCTTGCATCTCAGATGCAGATGCATCTGAGTACTTGAATCTGCATCTGCTCCGTTTCCGAGCAATTCCAGAGTAAACGACCGCAGCATCAAAGCGAAACGAAAACAAAAGCATTTTAAAAGGCAAGGAAAGATGTGGGATGGTATATGGATCATAAACAAATGCTCTGAGATATGTACTGCACATACACAGAAAGAAGTAAGGGCACGCAACATAGAAATATGCAGAAAACATATCAATTTGTCAATTTGCATTATTTATGATTAACATTTCAATTGGTTAATGTGTATAATTTATAATTTACCAATTAATTAATTTGTTAATTTGTATTATTTATGATTAACTAGACTTTTTTATTTTTGAACGAAAAAGGCTGTTCTAGTTTCTTAACACAAATGATAAGAAAAATCATATACATATCTGTGTATTTGTGACACTTAAGACCGGAAAATATGAAAACATGAATGCAATATAATTTTCTATGGCTGCTGATGAACTCATTCTGGTTAGAAATTAAAAACAAACCATTCCAATTGGACTCCGGCGCTGCTGCGACGTCGGCGTCTCCTTGCGACGTCACGGCCAGCAGCAACAACAACAAGGCGCTTTGTTGCATTCTCATGATGCTGGGCTACTCTCTTTCTCACTCTCACTCACTGGCACACACAATCACTCGCAATCGGTGGTTAAAAATTGCTATAGACAACAGTGCGTTATACTAGTTGCATTTTTGTAATAAACGCTAAGGAATTCAAAACTCTTTATGCTCCACAAATTATTAGGAGATCCACCCGCAAGAAACTCAGAAACGCGAATAACAAATGCGTGGCGCGTGTGGCTTATATTATCTGAAAAAAATACCCTAAAAAATCCCCTATTTCCAAATCAGCTGATGTGAAAAAGCTGCCACCTTATCTGAAAAAGAAGACCCTAAAAAATCCACTATTTCTAAATCAGCTGATGTGAAATAGGAGTTTCACACTGTGCCACCTCATCTGAAATAAAATCCTAAAAAATTCAGTATTTCCAAGTCAGCTGATGTGAAAAAGGAGTTTCACACTGTGCACCCTCATCCAAAAAAGACCCTAAAAATCCACTATTGCCAAATCAGCTGATGTAAAATAGATGTTTCACACTGTGCCACCTCATCTGAAATCAGACCCTAAAAAATCCACTATTTCCAAGTCACTGTGTCACCTATAAATAACTGTCGACTATAAATAAAATGTAATTTAAAAGGACTAAAAACGAAAATATCTAACACTTTATGGAGGCGCATTATAAATCCGAAATTGTCCACTTTCCTAAATTTGTTTAAACTTTTTTGACAATGCCAGTTAGCAATAAAATGTAAAAATAATCGAATATGTAAATAATTTCCCCTACTGCTAAATCCAAATACCTTTAAATAAAAACCTTTATCAGGTCTCTTCGCCGCACAACTTTAAATTTATTTAGGAAAATATTCAGCGGGTACTGTTTTTAAATGCGGGTGTTACATGGGTGAATTCACATAATGCAATATGTGTTAAGTATTTATGTACAATTAACTGGGCGACAAAGGGAAACAAAATCGCGTATCCGTTCGGTTTGCTCGCTTCGCCATCGCACCATGAGTTGAGCATATATAAATTATGTATGTATATTGTCTCATTGAACAGGTCGTATCAAAAATAAATGGCAGAACCCAAAACGAACTCAAACCGATCAAAATATTCTCAATCTTCTTCCCAGAGAGGTGGTATCAGTTCCAGATGACAGACTTGGACTTGCACTTTGCAGCTTGCAGTTTGCGCCTAACGACAGTCAGGCCCACAGTCTACAGCATACCGAAGCCCTTTGAGTAGTTGATGGCCTTCATCAGGCGCTCCTCCAGCTTTTCGCGGCTACTGTACTCGGGTAGGAGCAGCACATTGAAGCAGGTGTGCGAGGTAGGCAGCCGGTCGCTATCCGGACCGTGACGCGTGATCAACAGCCGCAGGCACTTGAGGCCGCCAACTGGTACACGCGCCGATCCCGTCGTGAATTCGAGCAGCTTGTGCTTGGCCTCGTTGGGCATTGCGTGCACAATGCTCCAGAAGTCCTGGATGTACTGGCTCTCCTCCGTGTAGCCGCCCTCGTACACCGTTGAATTCTCCAGCTCCACAAAGTCGAACTCCTGCAGAGGGTTTCAGAGTTCAGCAACCGCATGTATTTCGTACAATGAATATAGCTACTCACACGACTGCCACAGACCAGCATCTCGATCTCCTCTGGCCGGAAGAGCAGCTTCAGCGGCGATTCGTCCGTGACCATTTCGAAGCCCTTGCGGAAGGCATTGAACTGCTGCTGGATATTCGTGTTGAGCAGGAAGTCACTGTACAGGTTAACGAACAACTCCTTGTTGTGCTGCCCCACCAGCACATCCTTGCCATTCGGCACCAGTTCGTGCTCAACCATATCGCCGAAAACGTCACTGTAGCTGATCTTAAAGGTCTGGTCGAAGACCTCCTCCATATCCTGGCCCTGGTAGTCCATAATGGACTTCAGACTCTTGTACAGCGCGGGACTCCAGTCGCTGAGGTCCGCGAACGTGCCGCAATATCCCATCAACTTGCGGTAGACCACCATGGGGAAGTTTACGGCCAGGATCACGTTGTTGTAGATCGCCAGGCCAATAATTATACCAATCAGCGTGAACTGAGCTCCGTTCTCGAAGGGTGTGGCATTGAACCTGCATATAGGCTATATATAGGCCAACTGAACAGACTTTCTACCAATTGAATACCTACCACATATTGTTGGTTTCCTCCTGCTGTATAAACATACCAAAGGCCGGGTTGAATATCTCCTCCACGATTAGCTGGAAGAACTCTTTGGATACGCCGCCTTCATCGATCCCCTGCTCGCCGACAAACTCCACCACCAACTGCTTCTTGAGATCCTTCGGATTGCTCATGGCCACCATTTCCAGCTACGGAATTAAACATGCATTATTGACTCCTGCTAATACTAGAGCATTATGTGCACCCACCCCAATAAGCGCGTCGTTGATAAGCTGGTCCCTGCGCACCGTGAGCTTAAGATCCGGGCGAGGAGTTCCATCCTGCCCTTCCTGGCCGAAATTGTTGAGGATTGAGTAAAGGGAGGTGTAGCGCTCGCTGTACATCCTCATTCGGCTATCATAGTACAAGGCATCCACTTTTGTTGACGGCGTGAGTATGAAGGCGTACAGCATGAACGAAAAGTAGTTTGTGTGGCCGGAACCAATCTCGCTCTCCATAGCTAGCGTCTTGTAGGACAGGTAGTCGTGGTGCATCTGAATGTTTTCACTGAGCGCCTCGTTGTAGAACTCCTCAAGTGGTATCAGTGGTTTCCGGCAATCGATTGCCGACACCTGCAGCGCCTTCTCCAACTGATCCTCGGCGAACTTTGGCATGTGCGGCTGCAGCACAGAGTTGTAGGCGAATAGGTCGTCCTCCACCACGCCACTGCCAGATGCGGCCGCCGCTTCCGTTCGATCCTCCAGCGGCACCCGACACGACGGTCGCTCCAGCTCGCTGGCCAGAATGTTCGCGTAGAAGACAATCTGCAGGACGGGAGTGAAACCGTTGAGTTGTGTGAATATATGCAAACTAAACCACACCATTACCTTCAAAACTTTGGTGATGCTAATTATGGAACCGTTCTCGCGCATGGATTCCTCGTCCAAAAGTACCTGCAGTGTTATTTGCTGCTGGCAGGCGGCCACCAACGAGTGCAGCTGATCTGAACAATGGGCCGCCCAGATCCTGGCCAGACGCGCCTGTGCCGGCACTGGCATGGCCGCCGCCGCGTGGCACAACTTTGGCAGCACCCTGTCCAGATAGTCCATGTCTACCACACTGTTGTTGGCTAAAGGAAATGAAAAAGGCTGTAACATTATCCATTTCAGGCATGCAATTGAAACACTCACTATTGGTGGCTAGATCAAAGCAGATGACCAGACAGTGAATGACCTTTTCCCAATCGGGATGCAAGTAGTGCACCCAGTCAGCCAGCTGGATAACGCTGCTGGTAAGCTTGTCCGTGATAGCTCGCGTTTGACAGCTAAAAAGAAGGCGCTGTACTCGGCGCAAACCAGGCAGATCCACCAGCGTGTCGCTGCTTTGGGGTGGATCCTCATCCGACGTTCCCTCTGTGGTGTGAGCCATGGGCACATCATCGTCCTCTGCATCGGCCTCTGCCTCGGATTCTACATCTGCTGCAGCAGTAGCGTTGGGTGTTACTTCCGCCGATTCTGATTGTTCTTCCAGCTGTTGGGTACTGTCTTCGTCTTTATCGTGTTCGCCTTCTAAAGTTCGTAGCTGCTCCTTGTTTAAAGCCTCCGGTGGATTGGCCAGCAGCTCCTGGAGACTACTGGAAGCCGCTGGTTCTGCGCTGCGAATGAAGCTCTTGCTCAGTCTATCTACGCTGGAGAAAACATCGCCGATTGCGTGGCAAATCCTGTCGTAACTGTCAGCCGCCCTACATTGCTCATAGAGCGCCATCAGGCTGTTGGCATCCAGGCTCTGAACTGGCGGCAGGGTGGGTGTACATGGTTCCGAGTCGCCGGAAGAGGGTTCAGCGCCGCCCAAATCCAGTTGCGGCACACTCTGTACAAGATTCGTACTGGATACGGCCGCTAAGACGGCAGCTGGCGTACTCTGAGATTGTCTGCTGGTTGTCGTGGTGGTACTGGCGGAGGTAATGGTGCTTGTCGAGCTGCCGCTGCTGCTGCTGCTACTGTCGTTCGGCGAAAGCATGTCCACGTCCTGGGGGCTAAAATGGGCGATTTAAAGTTCAGTGGTATGCAACAAGTGGGAGAATAATCTATATATAGTATTGGTGCTCTGGTAATAGCCATAGAAACTAAGAAGCAAGTCAAAACGGAGTGATGATCTATCCCTGACTATTTCCAGACTTACAAAAACCCACTTGTTAATAAAGAACACTCACCTGCTGGTCGCCGATGTGGACGCCTCGCAGAGCTGTGCATCCTGTGAGAAGAGCTGCAGAGCTCGGGCGGCTACCTCGTTGGGCGTCATGGGCGCCACTTTGCCGCTGGATGCGCAATTGGCATTGCTGCACTGGGCGTTCCCACAGCCGGATTGCAGTTGATGAAAGTATCGCTGGATGAGGCTGCGCACCGCCGAACGCTTCATTTCGGGCGTGGCCCGCCCGCCCGCCGTTCCAGCTGCTGACCCTGATGCACTGGGGGGGCACAAAAAGCAGATTTAATATGCCACAGCTTAAGCACTTGAAATTATTCACCTGGAAACACCTGGCAGATGCTGATCATCCTCGCCACCGCCGCCTCCGCTCATCTTCGCTGATATCTGCGCACTTTACGCCCCCACCGTCGCCGTCCCTTTCTTTGTTTGACGAATCTGATGGTGCTCCACTTGCAAAATGAAAAGGGTGCAAAAAAATCGATGTTGATGTCCCTTTTTTGTGTCGCGGTGACCTTAAATTCTTATGTTGCCGCTGCTCTGCCGCTGTCGCTGCCTCCGCTGGCCGCGCATCGAGCTCCAAACGCCGGCTTTCTTACAATCTGATAGCCACCCTATAGAGCTCAATAATTCGTCAAGGCTTCGACAATTTTGACTACAAAAGCGTAAGTGTTTATGAATAAAGCAGGCAACAACGAATATTGAAAATCATTCTAAACGATGTGGTATCGATGTATATTGATATCGATGACACGCCGATAGGCTTATTCATCACCGGACAGAATTCTTAGCCGTGTCTATCGATATACGACCGTTGTAAGCTTGAATTTTATTAAGTCTAAACTTATAGTTGGCTCAAAAAGTATATGTAATATATTTTTGTAGTTCTATATTTGCAAGAATTTCAGAGTGTTTAATTGACTACATTTTCTATCTATAATTATTGAACTACGAATTGCATATCACTAGTTTTTGAAGTGAAACTTTTCTGCTACTAAACAATTCCCTGATGAATGTTTTAGAAGTAAACAACACGTGATAGTAGAATTACAATACTAATGGATTTCATGAGTTATACTAATAATTGTCGAACTATCACTAACTGCTGACCAGTGCTGCGAAGCACCAGCGCCCTTATCAGCTGTCGACGTAGGAAACCAATAACACCGTGTTATCGAATCTATCGTTCCTCGGAAAAAATAAAGAGAAATAATACGCAGGAGGAAATTACTGGATTCCGTGGCCGGAGCGAATGCAATGAGCTAGTACGACCAACTGGAAAACCCAATCGGAGTTCCAAGATGACGGAGCAAGAGGATTTGACCACCAGCGGAGGTGGCAATGCGGCAACTGGCTCAGGAACCAATTGCAACAACCAACTGCAGCAATGTGTGCGTGGGAATATCACCTGGGAATTGCTGCCCGTGCACCTGCGATCTGTGCTGCACAACAATCAGCGCGACTACGAGAAGTTCGTCTTCAACTATAGTCTGAAGAATCAGCTTAGATTCCGCGGTAACCTGGCCGCCAAGGTGTTTCGCCGGGAGCAGCGATACTACGAGCTGTTGGTACAGAAGAGCATCAATGGATTGGGTGCATTTCCCTACCACCTGGCCGATATCGTCACCAAGGGCCTGAGGGTGACGCCCTTCAACTACTATCTGGATGTTTTGGGCCAGCTATTGCGTAGCGATAAAAGCTACGATACTTTGCCCAACTTTACGGCCGCCGACTGTCTCCGTGTCTTGGGCATTGGCCGCAACGAGTACCTGGCCCTAATCAGCGATCTGAAAACCCACACACCACGCTCGTTAATCTTCGGGTCGCGGCCCAATCCGCTGGACTTCCTGCCACGCTTTCCGGTCCGCATACACATCGAGCCCTGGTGGCGACTGGACATTGGCTATGTCCTGGAAGCGGACATTCGCTATCTATCGCCTGCTGAAAGAGCCCTGCTCGACGACTTGATTGACTTTGGTGCCCAGCCGGCTGGGAAATGCGATCACGAGGTGGTGCACAGTCTGTACAGGAAGGGCTTAATTTATTTGGATGTGCCCATTAGCGGGGAGGACAGGATATCCATACCGCCGCTGCGCAACTTTGTAATGAATCGCGTGAGTGGGGACTACTTTGAGAATCTGCTGTACAAGATCTTTGTTAGCGCTGATGAGCACATGACCATTGCCGAGCTGGCGCACATGCTGCAACTGGAACTGGATAGCGTTAAGCAGGCCATTTCGTTTATCTGCCGTCTGGGCTTCGCCCATCGCAAAGAAGACCTCGTCAATCAGACAAATCATTCCAGCTGGGAGGGGTACAACCAGCAGCAAACGCCCGAAACGCCGCAGATAACACCGCTGAATTACAACTTACATGCCAGTAGTAGCTTCGAATTCGACCAGAGTCCCAAATCGCCAAAGACACCCAGGGAAAGAGAGAAGGACAAGGATAAGGACAGCAGTTCCATAGGCTACCTGTCCTCGGACGGCAACACCAGTGACTTCAGCTTTGCCAACCTGAATACAACACCCCAGGAGAGGGTAAACAATAGCGATGAGCAGGAACTGAGTTCGGAGCTGGAACAAGAGGAGTTGTCTGCACCAAAGCAGGTTGCTCCACCGGCTGCGATATCAGCAGCTGCCTTGCCAAAAAGCGGTAAGAGGGTGGGCTTTCTATTCGACTCCACGCTCACCGCTTTTCTCATGATGGGGAACCTGTCGCCCGGACTGAAGAATCACGCTGTGACCATGTTTGAAGTGGGCAAGTTGTGCGAGGAGAGTCTAGACAGTTTTCTGGCCGAACTGGAGCAAGTTTCGCTGCTGGATGCGGAGGGCGAAGGCGATGTTTCGCGCTATTTTGCCCACGCGGTCATTCTGCGTTCCACCATTTGCTCACTGCGACATTTGCTGCCGGGTGGCTTGGATCTGCTGAGACTGGAGTGCTTGGAGGGCTTGGATCGGCAAACAAGAGATCGCGTTCTGGAGAAGAAGTACAAGTTTATAATAGCCGCTTCGCCGCTGACGGCGTCGCTCAGTCATACATTTAGCATTCCCTACTTCGGCCAATTCCTGCGCAGCTCCGATGTGGCTCCCATGTGGAGCAAGCTATTCTACAATCATATCACAGGTATAGGTCTTAATAATGTTAACCCAACTAGAAATTATTTATATACTTTTTCATTCAGGCTATGGACCGCCCAGTTTGCTACTCTGCCGAGGAACTGTTTTGAAGACCTTGCCACGCTTGTTCCTGGGATATGGCAAACTGCTGGTGAACATCCTGCACTCAGATTCATACGTGCTCAATTCCGAGAATTTCCGCAACCTGAACGATCAGCTCAAGAACGGCTGTGTGCTGCTCCAAGGCTACGGAATCCGTACAGCCGGCTCGCTCCACTATGAATCATTTCCGTTCCAAGCGGCAGACACACGCCAAGCGAAGTGGGCTGCCCATCGAGCCGTACACAAACTGTCCAGCCTTTTGGATCTACGTCAGCAGTGCGGCTACATAACATTCCTGAACACTGGAGTGCCGGATCTCGGCTGCGAGGACTACGAGCTGCAGGTGCGACTGAAGGCGGCGCAACGTCAGAAACGAGCCTCAGTTGCGGCGCCCAGCAAACCAAACCATGTGCCAACAAACGAGGTGACCAGCTTTCAATTAAAGAGCCCCGATGAAAACCACTTTGCGGCCACGCCGGAACACGGTCCGGCGAATGAGTTCACTGCTCCGGATTGCAGCCAAGTGCTGGCTAGCGAACTGGCCAAGTGCAGCAGTCGTGCGGACCTGGTGTCGCAGAGTTCCGTGGAGATCGAGGACGTCGCGACGTCGCTGGTGTCGGAGGATGACGCCACTGAGGAGTGGACCCTGCTGGACGTTAGTTTTGGCGTACCCCTATTCGATGTCGATACCAATACGAGAATTTGCGAGCAACTGGTTCAGGAGCTCTGCAGCGATGCTAATTTGGAGGCATTGCCCGCGGCAGCCAGCCAGGCACAAGTTCTGTTTCTGGATTTCGTGCAGCAGTGCTTGTACTTCGAGGACGATCCGGCCAGACAGTCGGTGCAGGCAGCCAGGCCACTTCCTCATCCTAGGATCAACCTGGCATTTGAAAACGGGCATGTATGCCATTGGAATGGGCGCTGATCAGCCAACGCCTTGATGCATTCCCCAAGTATTCCATTTACTTTCCCAGTTACTTATCAGTTTGTGTACAGTTGGCGGACCGATTTAAAGGCAAACAAATTTATATTTATATATACGTATATATATCCGCTACCGCATTCACATTCGCCAACCATCAGCCAAGTCAGCATCGCATTCTTAAAGTTTGCGTTCGTTTTTTATTAGTTTTGTAAGCTCCCAGGGGAGACAGAATGATAAAGATTGGCTTTGTGCCCTCCAAGCATATACACATATTAATGTATGTCTGAATAAATGCAGTTTTAAAACTTATTTCTATACAGTTTTTACTTTTAGACGGAACTTTTAGTTTTACAATTATTTATTAACCTTTCACGAGATCTTATCTATTGATATGTATAAGGGTTATGTAAAGGGTATGATCACGAAACTTTGATAGGTTTACTTTTTGATTATTTAAAATTTCAAGTCAAAATTTGTTCATTATGCTTATTAAGTTAATGTTGTAGGCAATTTCTAAATATAATTTTAAAAATCAAAATACCGTTATAAATTGACAGCCCTAACATCAATGGTTTTTCTACTGTTTCCAAGGTGCGGTCACACTCAGTCTGATTGGCACAACAAACGAAAAAGTTTGCAATTCCAGGGCGCTTTTTTTTTGCTTCATCCAGCAAGTAAATAATCCCCTTCAAAAGCAAATTCTTGTGTGAATTGAAAAGCAGCTCTTGGAGCACCGAATAATCCAATTGAATTAGTGAAAAGTGAAAAATATGCTGTAAATGCGAAAGCGAAACAAGTGCACAACTTCTGGGAAGAGAACAAAAAAAAAAAAAATTGGTGGAGTAAATGCCAATACAAAGAGTGGAGAGAGAAAAAGAAGAAGAGCGCGCGCATTCTTGCTCTCTCTTGTTATCACTTGCGCGGCAATTGTTATTGTTCCGACAAATTCACAATTGTCCAGCCTAAATACTTAATTTTTGCGACTTATAGTCTATATCTGTGAATTTTATGTGGAATTGTGTTAAAACACCAGTTCGCGCGAAAAGCGAGAGTGATCGCAAGTGTTCGAATTAAAAATAGCGTTAGCGTCGCCAATTGAAGGCCACCTGTCGAGTGCACTGCCTGCGGATATTTGTGCCCAGTGAAGCGTGAATCTGCAGAAAGCGCTTCATTCGCTGAATTATGCGATTGTGTATTGTGTTCTGGTCTGTGTTATTCAACGGGTTAATTAGCTGCTGGCCAGGCCAAAACAATCAATGCGTTGAGAGAGAGAGAGAGAGCCAGAGAGGGCTGCCACCCTTTCCTTTCATTGTCTTTGCTTAATTAATACCCCAAAAAGATATCTATTCAATACATAATCGTGCGCTGTGTTTGCCTTAGAAAGCCATCTGTATTTATTTTTGAGTAGACTTTCTATTTATTTGTTGCTAAAAGGAAAAGTTTAGTTAGTAAACCAAACGCGACAACCCTGAATTGCCCAGCTGTTTGCTTACTCTCCATGGAGGCAAACACTTAGTGGCAGTTCTGCAAACAAAGCTATTTTCAAGCCAAATCTGATGATTGTTAGGGCTGACAAAAAAATGTAAATAAGATATTTAATTTACAAATGTTTTAACGCTTAAGACTATAATAGTACCCTCTTTAACGGGTCCGTAGCTATAAAGGTTTTAATCTTCCTACCTCCTATTTTCTACCTACCTCTAATTAAAGCTTAGCTATTTATTAGCTAAAAGTGTAACCAAAAGAGGCCAACACTGCTGTCCGCTCTCTTTCCTTCTCTCGCTCTTTTGGATTTGGCCAAGCTAACGCACACCTGCGACGCTCATTCTTGACTGAATTGCCGTGAGTAAGCGTTGGGTTGAAAAAGCGAGCGCGTGTCGTGAATCGGAAAATCGAGACAAAGATAAAGAAAAGTTCATTATCACATGCCAGAAGAACAGCGGAAAATAAAGCCGTTGAACAAGTGAAAAACGAAAGGGAAATGCAAGTGAAAAGTCCATTTGGACCCTGCCCTTGAAAGTGTGTATGTGTTGGCCGCAAGTGTCTGCGCCTTTGTGTGCGTATGTGTGTTTGTGCGTGTTCGTTTCTTCCAAAAGTGTTCAATGTAAAAATAAAATATCCGATTAGATTCTCGAGCACAACAAAAGCAACCTTGAAAAGGCAGCCAAGAATCTGCCTTTCTGCTTTTCGGCTATTTTTATCCGTTTGGAAATGCCCGACAAGTTATCCAAGTGTCCAATCGGAAAACTCACGTCGCACAATTGAAAACCTCTTGGCCATTTACCCATTCAACGTGTCTCGGTGTTTCCGTCTTCACTTGGGCGTGATCACGCATCCTTAAAACGAAAATAATAAAAGAGTTTCGGTTCCTAAACTACACTTGCGGTCAAACTAATAGTGGCATTCAGTTGTAATTGCCTAGGCTTCAGAAAATCAATTACTCCAGTTAGAGATGTTTAAAAGAATAGGTGACAAATCAATAAAGTTTTCCAAACGTTTTCTATTATGACTAAAGTACTTAGTTTTATTGTACATTTTGGTGACTTTAATGTTTTATTGCACAGAAAGCTTATCAGTTCGCCATCCACTATTATTTTGACTGCATCTGAGTGTCCTTTTCACGCCTCCGTTCGTTAGGTAAAAAACAACCACTGGAATTCACTTTACGCACAAAACGACTTTAGAACGCAGCAGGATGTGGAAAGCGTAGGAGAAAAAAGGGTAGTAGACAACACGCAACGAAGGCCGGAAAACGTGGAAATGACTGGCTAATTAATTAGCAAAGTAGGCAAAGGAAAAGCGGCGAAAATAGGTGTACCTTCTAAATTCCGATTTGTTGCAAAATTTATACCGAGCCAAGGCTTAAAATGACATCATACGCAAATGACACAACGACAGCAGCAGCAACAACAGCCACATCGGCGGCAGCAACATCAGATGGCGCAGCAGAGGCGGCAACTACAGCTGTCCCCGCCCACCAATCAGCTGTGGGGGGCGTGGCGCCATCAGCTGATTCGTCCAAAGTCAAGAGCCGCGACAATTTGTCCATTGGCCGCGGCCACTATGGCGATGACGATGGCAACAGCAGCGACGGACGCGAAAAGGCCGACACAACACCGGAAAATATCAAGAAAATCGCCGAAATCATCGACAGTCCAGATGGCACCACCTCGGCCAATTCGCCAATACCCTCGCCCCGACATGTCCAGCTTCGGCATCCCGTGAATCCCGGCTTCGTGGGCCTCGGCGCAGCCATCGATGACTCCTGCGGCAAGTTCTGCCTTGGCAAGCCGCCACCATCGCCGGCCGAGAAAGGTGAGCCACAGTCTTGTCTCCTAAATAGACGTCCATAGGTCCAAAGTCCACAAATAGATGCTTGATTTACCTGGCATGCAAAAAATGTTGCACTCTTGGGGTTTCCACCTTCAAAGCCATATCATGTTGCTAATTTTAATTCACATCTTAGTTAATATTTATAATGACGTGGGGCTAGGAAGTCAGCATTTTACATTTACGATGACTAGGATATTTTCTGCAAGTGATACGACCGTGGTTTTTAATTGCCTTCAAAGTACAAATTCGTTTGAAAACGATTAAAAGCCTGAAAAGTATGTAGAAGCTACAAAATGGCATAGAAACATGTATTTTAAAAGACCTTTAACCTTTAAATGCTCGGCGTCCTTATGACTGCCGCAACATCTTGGCCAAGTTATAGAAATTGGATTGTATTGGTAAGAGATACGGCGGCAACCGCAAAACCCGGCGACAATTGATGGCTAATTTAGCCATGGTGGTTTTTGTTGGACTTGCTTTTGTTGCTTTGTTGATCCAGGTTGCGGCTTGTCTTTGCTCTTTTCTTTGTTAATTTGAATTTTTAATGAAGTTATTTTGTGCGAGTCTCTGGCCACGACTAAGCGCAAATATTTATTGCAATAGTCATGCCTGGCACACACACTCGCACACACACAGCGAAACACACACACCCTCAAACACACCTCGTTTATGTTGCTGCTCAGATTGGCACAGTGGGCCGCGTTTGGCTCAAAAGCCAGTTCTCGATTCTCGATTCTGGTTCCGAGAAAGTGGAACGGGATCAATAGCCTGCGAAAGCGGCAAGTGACATCAGCCAGCGTGGTATTTCAAATTTATGGTCCTATGACACAAACTATGTAGTTGCTAATCTAGAGTTGAATGAATGAATGAATGTTCGGAAACACTGATATCAATCTGCACTTCTAATGGCAGCAGAGAAAACAATGTTTAAAAATTCAATTACTAATTCAATGATAACAAAAATAATTAGGCATTTCGTGAACCGAAAGAACTTTATAATCAAAACTTTACTTTCTCATTACATGCAACATAAATCAGATGCGTGTGCTCATAAATTTCACATGTGAAGTTTTGGGCATAAAAACTACGCACAACATTTTACAACAATTATAAATAGAAGCAATATAAAATGTTAGTTTAGGCCTGTTTATTTTTCTTTAATCGAATGTTTACAAGTTCAAAACACTGATTGATTTATCTGCTCGGCATTAAATGGTTCTCAAGTGTTGCAACTAATTTCATATTAACTTGGCTTGGTTCCAAAACTCAGCAGAACACAAACTTTAATACAAAATGTAAAAACACTTGATCAACAGTGAAAATGGGTTTTCATATAAATGCGTTTAATACGAATTTCCACACAACGCTTCTGTTAAAGGTAAACAACTTTCGTAGTTCAGATACAAATCGTATATTTATGAGTAACCAGCAGATTTCTGGGCGGAGTTCTGTTCACATTTGCATTGATCAATTTGCCTGCAATCCTTTGTTTTCAATTAAATGATCTTGCTCCAAATGGGCAAGCCTGGAACTCAGAAATAATAAATAATGATAAGACAGCCTGGATCGAATCGCAGTAACCTCCGATCGATCAACGCCCGCAGCTGTGGGCTGAGTCATCCACATCCACTTCCAGATACTTCAGATACTCGAACACAAATCTGTTTCGCTTTTTGGAGTATTCGATTGTATTTTGCCAACGAGTTATTGCGTGCTAGGAATGAAAATGTGTGAGATAATGACGGCGACTGCTATAATTGTGTAAGATTTGGCAAGCGCTGCGAAATGAAACCAAAACTGATAAACAAAAAAAAAAACATTGAGAAATGGGAGATTTATGAAAAACAAATCACGGCACTTGATGATGAAGTGAAAATCGAGGTGCCGCGGGCCTGGGAATTTAGGTTCCATTTCAAGTGCCGCTGACAATGAGTGCCAAGGTATAAACCAACTCGGCGAATAGGGTATTATGTCACCAGCTTAAATGATTCATTATATTGAAATGCCGCAGGGTATTCGAAAGTGTTACTCTTTGCAGTGGTCTTGCAGTTTAAACTGAAAAATTAAATATGGTGTGTTTGTTTTATAATTTAACATCTAGTCACGTGCCACTTTATAGAGTTAATATGAATTCCTTATGTTTCGGTTGCGTTTCTCATTTGCACATACCAATCCAATAAAAATGTGTGGCATTAATTCTTGGCCAGCGCCCAAGAATCAAACAGATTCGGCACAAATCTCTTGGTTTTGGCCTTGTTCCCAAATTGATAATGATTTGGGCATGCCTAATTAGTTGTATTATTAAATTTGTGGGCTCTTGAATATGCCGTCAAGACCTGTCTCTAAACTATTTCAGCAATTTTGTATCATTATTTTGGGTGTTGCAAATATAAATGTCTTGATTTTTCAGCAAATTTAGAGTAGAGCCACAATGCTTAAAGTAGTTTTCGAACTGAACTGCGCAGCCTTTATCTATTGGACTTCCATTTGCTTTTGAATGTAGAAATACTGATGATGATACTGACTTTCTGGCGAAAATGGAGAACCAAAATCTCATTGAAGCACTTCTCAATTTTCTTTTCAATTTTCTGCTTCTCAAGTGTATATTTAAATGCTCGGTAAAATCGAAATAATCGCCGATAACAAGGCACAACAAATAACCGCCAGTCGATGACCTCATTCGCAGATGACAAATGATGATCATCAGCGATGGCTTTCACTGTTGTCGCCGAGCAGCAAAGAAGTATAAATAAATTGTTAATAACATTTACTTAAATGTGAGAACCTGACCCCATCGAAAGGCAAACCAAAAATCGAAGTGTAACCATAGACCACACACCGAAACACCGAAATGATATAAACAAATTGATCGGTGATGACGTAAGCTTCAAATGCAATTAGCGTAGCTAATTGAAAACCAATGGGCAGCGTGAGAGATTTGCTTATCAATTTCCGCTTTGCATTCGCTCCATTATGTTACACTGCACATTTGCCAAATTAGCCCAAAAAATGGTTAGCACTCGGAATTACGGGTAGTAAAAAGCAAATGATCAAAGATCAGCAGGCGGTCGCACAATTTCCCATACACTAGACTTTCCCAAACAACAACAATAGAAGCCAGCTGACCGACAAAAATTACCCAAAAATGTATATATTTTTATATGAGTGTGTATATATATTGCACTACACCATTATTTTGCTTTATTTATTGCGAAAAGTAAAAGCGACTACACAACGACTACCGACAAATAAGAGCAAACAAAAGACTTTTAAACGAGCAGCACTACTCGACACACGGTCTATTCCACGGGCAATGGGCAATAGTAATAATAATGGCAATAATACCCGACATTTGTGTGTTGTGCCAACAGTTTTCAATTGTTGGCCCAAATGCGGCGGCTTATAAAAAAGGCAGTGCTGAACGATAACTCGATAGAAGACATTTTTTTATGGCCATGCACAGTGGGCAGCGTAATTACCGTTAGTCAGTCGTTACCAATAGCGGTCTATTGTCTATCGACGATTGCCATACTTCCTGCCAAATTAGATTGCAAATTTTGTGATCTAACAAGCGAATAATGTCGTTCTGGTTTCCCGCCAAACTAGAACTTTCCCAACTCTTAGAAAAGATTTTTAAATTTCTGACTGCCATGCAATGATCTACTAGCTCCTAGGCTCCTAAACCATTTGTGCTTTATTTGTTATAAACAATAGTTCGCTTTACTTGATGACAATAGATGCCCATAAAGTCGTAGTTTCACAAAGTATGCTATATTTAGTTTGAAAATGTTTCTTAAATAGAAAATATTTTGTAACCTGAAATTATAAGCTGAGTTTATGGGAAACTGGGAACAAAGAAATTATGCACATCGACTTCCCTTTATGATTCTGATTGAGCACTTGCATCTGTGGTTGATATCTGAGAATCTTGTTTTGGGGTACAATTACAGTAACAAGTTAATTTGTGCCAATCAAAAATGAGTAAGCTTAAACCGGAACCAGTTTTCTGCTACTTAGTATATTGTTTATTTAAATACAGCAATTTTCTGCAGCGATGCACAAGATGAAAAACATAAATTACAAATGTTTAGGTAGTAATTAATTGAATGTATATCCAAGTATTCATATGAAGAAAATGCATAGGTGTTCATACATCTTCTTTTAATTTCAAAGCAATGCTAATAATGACACATTTCCACCTTGACTCCCCATTTAATTGCCCATCTGCATACTAATATATTAATGGTTGCCAAAGAAATAAATGTGTTGCTTCGTGACCAAAAACTTGTTCAAAATAAGGCTGTGAGATCTATGGCGAATATGGATATGGTATTTGAAATATATTTTCAGGGCAAACGAAACGGAAGTACCGCGGCCAGCTAAGTTTGGCAGAGCGTAAAAGTTTTGTGGGTCTGCCGAATGGAACAACCCTCATAGAACATACAACTACAACATACCACATACCATACCATACCACTATTCCACTATAACATATACCATATAGCATGGCAGTAGGAGAAAGAACCTGCAATTGACCGAAATCACCGAACTCTAACCTTCACTTGCCGGGCAGCCAACTACTGCCTTATATAGAGTACGACCAGAAGCTACCCATCCATAGATCACGATTCTGAGAGGCGGCCCCCTAGATGGTCTCCCACCTCTCCACTCGATGTTGTATGTGCTTGTGCCACTTCGCGTGGCGGAGCTGAAAGCAAATTGTTTGATTTTCTTTTTGCCCGTACTTTGGTCGCGGAAATGTATAGAAATCGCTGGCGGAAACGGTGAGGGATTTCCCCGGGCTGCAGGTGGCTGTTTCGGGGCCCTTGAATTGGTTGAACTTCAGGGAATGCGACCTGTGTTTGCCTCGAGATTGTCATCCGGGATGCAGGTTGATTGCCTTGTTCCTTATTTGTCGCGAAGCTCAGATATACAGAACACAGGTGTTTCTTTGGGAGGTTCACAATTAAGTTAGTTCCAAAATTTGGCAGTTGCTCATGCTTACTAATTGGTTTTTTTCATATTCGGAACATGTAATTACCAAGTATTGGTGTAAATCTACATTAACACTATAATAAACAATTTGTCAATGTTTAGATGTATGCCTTGCGAATGTGAGAATCGACTACTACTAGAGATCAATTTTGTATTTACAAGTATATTTTAAATGAATTCTTTAAGATACATATTTGCGTAACTGATTTTCAACACATTACCTCTGATCCGCTCCTGAATTCCTCCGTTTTGATGCAGCTCATCCAACTCTTTTTCTCGTCCGCTTGCCACTTCAGTTGAGTTCAGTTTAATTAACGCCAGCCAGCAACTTAGTTTCGTTTTCACCGCTTAAACGCTAATAATAAAAATAATAATATTAACTGTAAATAAATGCTAATTTAATTGTGTGTGTGTTTGCTTCTTTTCTATTCCATTGCAGCAGCTGCGGCACAAAGCAGAGCGAACCAGCAACATGGCACTCCAACAGCCAACAGCAGCAGCAACTCCAATCATAAATCAGCGGCTGATGACGAGGAGAACTCGAGCGAGTCGAATACAACCACGAAAGCTTCGCTGGCCTTCACCATTGATCATTTCGATGCCTCCGAGAACGATTCTGCGGCACAGGCGGCGCGCTACAAGAACATGATGGAGCGTTTCCAGAATCGACACAAGCGCGGCGCCTCCATGTCCAAGCTGGAGACGGAGAAGGATAACACGACGGCCACATCGAACAGTGGACGGCAGTCGCAGAGGAGCAGCCTGGATGCTGGCAGCAGCATGGCGGACGATGTCTCCTCCCTCACAGCAGCCACGCCCAGCAGCGAACAGGCGCCTCCGGTGCAGGTGAAGATGCGGGTGCGGGATCGTAGCGCCTCCCGGGTGAGAGATGCCTCCAAGCGGCACAGTTGGTCGCCCAGGAGCTCGGCCAATGCAACCGAACCAGTCGCAGCACCTGCGCCCAGACCCGCCAGCCGATCGAAACTGCCACCGCCGCCGGCGGCGAACAAGGGTACCTCCAACATGGTGGCCAACCGCACGGCCAATCAGTTCACACCTCGCTCCACCGCCATGCAGCTGGCCCTGCGCCAGGTGGAGATGCTGTGCCCACAGCCGCCGCTAGCCGATGGCAAACCGGCGGCCGAGAACGATGCAGTCAGCGAGGCAGGCACCTACACCCTCGATGGGGACAACTATACGGAGGAGCAGAAGGATCTCATGAACATCGATAGAAATTTGAAGGAGGCAGCTGCCAAGCAGCGGCCCAAACAATTGCCAGTTAAGTCCAGCCGGGGCAGCAACGTCCTGGAGGTCAACTACTACCACGAAACGCCGCTGCAAGAGCAGCTGCCACAGCAACTGCCAGCACAGAGGAGCTCCACAGGTCAGATAACTTATAAAATGTTTGGTGCTTAAAAGATTTCAATGATTTCCGCAATTAAACGCATACTGATTAACGTTTCTTTTTCCGCAGGTGCCTATCTGGATCAACTCAAGAGTCGCGTGCTGCGTCAGCAGGTGCCCCTTTCGCCACCCACTCCGCCTTCGCCGGCAGCGGATATGGGCTGCTTTACCAGTGTGACCACCAGCGGAGTGCTGGCCAAACAGCGCGCCCTGGATACCCATCCGAAGCACAGTCGACACTCGCACAGCCTGTCCACCTCGCAGATCGACAGCTCTGAGTATGTGAGCAACGAGGCTAAACTGAGGCACACGCAGGCCTTGTCCGGATCGGCCACCGATCGCCAGAAGGCCGAGTACCGCCTGAATGTGTTCACCACTAGCACCAATCAGCAGCACCAGTTGCCGGATACACCCACCACGCCCACACAGAGCTCGGAGGCCGCCCTGCTGCAGACGGCGCAGACCAAGCAGGATTGGATCCAGGAGTGGGCACGCAATGCGCGTGCAAGGAGCCTGGCCCAGGATGTGAGTGGCACGAGCGCCGCTCGCCGGAAGCAGCAACAGCAGCAGGCGCAAGCGCAGGCACAGGTGAGCTGGTCAACCGGTTCTGCACCGGATTTCGGGCAACCTTCTTTGATAAATTCATTTATGGAAAAATCCCAGTCTATTGACACTATCTGGTTAGTTTGGTGCTGAATGAGTCACCTATGAGTCATCTATAGGAGGATTACATTCGAAATATGTTTTAGAAACTTTAATTTATTTGTTGAAGAGAATGTGCTAAATTAAAATGAAACAACACATTTTCGTTCATTAAATCTCTTTAAGATTTAGTCGCAGTTATTAACAAATGATTAGTAGCCTTATTTGCTAGTTAAAATGACGTAGTGCTATTTAGCTGGCGTTGTTTAGCTTATCCTATTAACAGATGTAGATTAGATTGCAAAAATTATTCATCACAGTCAGTTAGGGATCAACTTGGTAATTTACGTTGTGAGATGTTCATTTTAAACACGTTATTGTATGAATACTTAATTGCATATAGGGAATAATATTCATTTTTACCCATATAAAACCACAATTTACGAAATTAATTCTGTGAGACAAATAAAACCAAGTTAAGTTGAGCTAATGTTTATGTACATACACACTTCTATATTTTACATTTGCTTGACATAAGCCGTAAAATATACTCTTTTAGCTCGGACACAAACCCATTACTAACAATGACATAAATGGAGCATACTTTTATGGGCTTAATTTGTGATAAAATAATAACTACTGTTGCTTTACAAACATTTTAATGGGTAAATAATGGTTTGCTAGAAAAGTTGTTAAGCAAATAGTTAAATTTTGTTACCCAACTGTTTATCTACATATAATTTCGATTGCTCACTTCTGCTTAGTTTAATGAAGTAAATTTACTGATATTGGTTTCGTTAACTTGCAGCAACTGATGACACGCAGCTATAACTGCTCCGACACGGGAGGCGATTCCTTGACGGATGACAGCCTCAGTTTGTACAACCAGCAGCGGCAGTATGCGGCGGCAGCCAAGCTCAATCGCGGACTGGCGGAGCGGTATCGCCTACTGGGCGACTGTGACTACGCCAGCGATCCGGCGCTGTGCAGCCATGGCGGTGGTGGAGGTGGACAGGTGCTGGAACCAGGTTACAAGCCACCAAAGAGTCCCAGCAAGATTCCCTCGCCGCTGCACACGCTGGGACGTGCGCGCAGTGCCAGTCGCTCGCGCCCGCCAACGGATGCATACTTGGAGCAAACGGCTGCGGCCATTAGTAATCTCCAGCAGTCACTATCACGCAGAAGTTCGGTTAAGTCCCCGGCACAGAGCAGTCCGCAGCACAGTCTGGAATCGGGAATGGGTGCCGGAGCAGGCGGTGGCTATAGACGATCTCCGCTCCATCGAGCGCTCATGACCAGCAGCATCAATGAGGCGCAGCTGCAGTTGCTCACCAGTGGCGAGTATCTTCTCAAGCAATTGCGTCGCCGCAAGAACTCCCTAGAATATGATCCTGGTCAAGAAGTGGAGCATGTTGAGCCAGCAGCTGCACCCTTGTCGCCGCTGCGTCGATCGAGTAGCTTCCAGCAGCAGCAGGGCCAGCAACCTGTGCGTCAGGCGCGTCCCAATTTCCAGAACCTCTACACACCGCCCGCTGCCCGTCATGCCCACGCCTTGAGCACCGTTCACCAGCAACAGCAGCAGCTAAAGAAATCCGCCAGCAGCAACAATTTCGAGCAGGCTTACAGCGACTACGACAACGAGTTGCAGTATTATATAAACGATGAGGATGAAATGGGCACTACTGGGGCCTACTACTCCAGCAACGAAGAGGAGGAGGCTGTGGAGAACCACGAAGATCAGAGCGCCGTGCCGCTAAGTAACACGCGCATGAACAAGGCACTGCTGATGCGGATCGAGAGAAGCAAACAGAGGGTGGCTGGAACACAGGCGCCGGCCAAACCAACCTCAGCACCAGCGGGCAAGCTGAGCATGGCACAAAGTGGTGCTGGCTTGGTGGCCTGCCCCAATACTCCCGAAATGCCACGCCGGGGAATCAAGAGTGCTCCCAGGGCAGCTCCAGGGTCGGGCAATCGAATCGCCCGCCAGTCAATGCCCCGGGAGACGAGTCTCAGTCGACTGGCACAGCAGGTGCCCAGCTCTCTGGCCAACGCTAAGAAGCAGCTGCTCCAAACCGCCAATGCCGGTGTCACCTCCAATCCAAGGGATCAGCGTGTGCAGCCCAAATACCTGGACATATCCAAGTACAAGTCGGCGCAATCCAACAACTTTTTGCGCAAGAACGATGCCAAGAGTACTCTGAAGCCAGCAGATCAAATGAAACGAAGTCCCAGTGCCTCATCCATGGGTCTGAGTCGCGGCGAGGGAACGCGAGCCAGTAATCGGAGTGTGCGTAGTGCTGCCTCTGCAATGAACACCAGTACTACTTCGCTGGGCGGTGGAAATCCAGGATCACGCAACTCGTCAGCAATTCGTCGCGATGCCTCAGGTAAGATTACTTGCCCATATTCTTTTCTATTTTAAATAATTTGCTTTTATTTGTATTTAAACAGTGAACAAGCAAAAGGAGGCCGAAATGGCCATGTGGAAGCGTCGATCTACCTATGATCCCATGAAGGCGGCAGCCGAGGATCGCCGCAAGAAGGAGGAAGCGCGACGAGCTCAGAATGAAGCTCAGCGACAGATCAACGATGAGGTTGATGAAATGCCTTTTGAGAGGTAAATTATATGGGCATCACTTGCCAAAGTCTTTCTGATAAATAGCCCGCTTTAGGTGACTTTCCTTGTGTTTAACCCTGAGATAATAGATCTATAGTTATTATTAGACATCGTTACAAATATGTATCCTATAAGAACAGCAAGGCAAGGCCCTAAACTCAGACTCCTTAAATGGTAAAGGTTTCACACGAAAATTCCAACGTATTTGGACTCAGGTGTATTTCTTGAAATTTCTTATCTTAGTTATTCTTTACCAGTAAAACGTTTATTTTTTTGGCAGATCGATACTATTCTCCATTGAAGAGTTCCTTTAGAAGGTATTACTTAATGAAATAATTGCGTTTTCCTATAAAAGTAAAGCTAAATACTCCAATAGGTTCTCAAAAGTCTCATTCTTTTAGATTAGTGTAGATCAACTTATTTAAGCTCATTCACATATTTTTTTTAAGATTTAAACGATTAGTTTTAATAAATAAGATTTGGCCGTCGAGGTCTTAGTTTTAGTATACTATTTCGTAATTATTTGTAACATACTTTCAATTATCTGAATTTCATTTGTATCCTTTACTTTGGTTCTTTTATTAGCCTAAGGTTGTGGGTAATATCGCGGCTTGAGGTAAAGGTGCGTTCTGGAAATAGACAAATATATTAGCAATAATTCAACTATCTCTCATGACTCACTTCTAGATGAAACTTATAATTTTCCCTAATTTGTACTTACATAAGTAGTGGCCAAGTAACGAGTTCAGTATTGAATTTGTAACGTAACACCGCTCAGTAAAATCGGATGAATAGGAACTATGTCGTAAATGATCCAGCATTCTGTACTTATGATTTTGCTAATTGATTTCTTCTCTTTTAATTTCTGTACACCCCCAACACACAACACCACCACCAACACTATCTATCAACACTACGAAAACAATCCAATAACAATCGGTAGACCATCACGCTCCCACTACCGCCGTGGACAGTTATGACCAACAGATGGTGTGCTAGTTACCGATTTTTGAGCCATCAACATACACCTAAACATTCAGTTGACTATCTTTCCACGAAACCCAAAAAAGAAAACCAAATACTTTCCACTACAAAAACATGCCACACGATCTAACATGGTGCAAGCAGCAGCGGCAGCAGCAGATTGTATCACTAGAATCCCAAACTAGTGTCAGACACAATCGCCGAATCGAATCGAATCGAATCGAACAACGATCATTTTGAGAACGGATCTAACTAGCGTAGTATCCACAAAAATACGATTTTCCAATGCAACGACAACTAGAATGAAATGTTTAGTAACGACAGCCAACCCGAAGCCAAATGTGGTGCTATCATTTGCCAATGTAATAGAGCAATCTTTATCAAAAATGTCGTAGTATTATTGTTAAATATTTATGCATACAACTCAATCATTTCGTTGTTGTTCGCCGTTGTGCAATTGTCTCGACCAATTTGTTTGTTCGTCAGTTCGTTAGTTACTTTGTCTTGTGCGGCTTCATTTGATTTTATTTGGCTGAGCAGCGAATTCGACCAATAAAATGCTCTCGAAGATTGAAAACTAACCGCATCAATTCTAACTTCATACAACATTTAAAGGTCTCCTCCTGGTGATTATGTTTTCGTATTTTATTTAACAAAAGTACCAAACACAATCATTTTGGGCGTATTCCTTACTAAATTTTGCATTAGTAGCGCATCAGAGAAATTGAAAATGAGGGGATAAACCATTGATTGAAGTGTCTATAAAAACATCGTATGGCTTAAGATTAAATGAAACAAAATAATGAACTTACTTAAAGACAATATTATTGATAACTTCATAATTTCATTAGTCTACTGAAAGTTTAAAGTCCTTTCCAAATTAATGTGCTTTTTAACATACAATATTTTACTTGTGTCCAAGTCCTAAAGTTAGAAGCAATCTTCATCATCAATTACGTTTTTCCATACTATCACTGAAACAATTGGTTAATGAACCCCGATTTGCAATTTCCAAATCTTTCAAAATTGTAAAATCCTCCGTTTGCTCTGGCAACTTCGAAAGAAATCTTCATCATTATGTAAATTGCTGCAACCCAAACTACTTAACCAAACATCTAACAAAACATTATTAGTTAGTTCCCAGTGTACAAATGTTTGTCCCGTTTATTGCCTAACCGATTATCGCATTCAACATGCCACTCCCAAAGCAACCTAACCAAACCAACCGACCTAATCCCGAAACCCGCTAACCACACAAAACTCAGTCAGTAGACCAAGCTAACACATAGACAACTATTAAACGCTTTCTTAGAACTCGCTAGTATAAAACTCACCTGAGATCGAGAAAGAACACTTCACATGCCATTCAAATTGATTGCATTCCGAATTGTGCATTTATTAAAATAATCCTTACCGCCCAATTTGATGAAATATTAACCCAAGTTCTCTATATACAGTGTGCTGCGCCCAGCCAACAATATGACCATCACGAGCGGCGGCAACAGCTACAGTCCTCGAAACTCCGTGGAAAACGACGCCTGGACGCTTGGTGAATCCTCCGAGTATGGGGAATATCCCGATGACTACGATGAAAACGATGAGGTGCATGGCGATGAGGATGAGGATGAGGATATTGACTACGTTGGCCAGGAATCCGACGATGTTTTCGAAACGGAATCCGGCGAGGCTGCAGTTCAGGGCGCACAGTAGACAGCTATAGAACTAAACAAAACACAAACCAGCAACAGTGATAAATAATTCGATATATACATAACTCTATATATATGTATAACATATTGTATTTCTTAGCGATTGATAATGCGAAATACGTATAACCTTAGCTGACATGATTTTCCCTTGGCTTGTTCGACCTATCTAAATGAAGTTTTGTATTTTGAAAACCGGAGATCATCGAAATATGCAATAAACTGAACACGCTAAATGAAAAAGTTAACCACTTCAGATCTGTCCACATGCCGTAGCGTATTTTTTTTTAAATATTTTATTGCTGAAATATTCACTTCATGAATTGAATTCGATAAAAATAATAAGTTGCAAAGCGTTGAAAGCTTAAAGGATTTCTGAAATTGTACAAACATAACTTAAAAATGGAATATGCTTTAAATAGATATTCTGACATTGTCGATTTGGTGCAAATAACTATAATATATATGGAAAAATACTCAGATGTGTCCTAGGCCTTGTGAAGTTTGAAGAGTTAGAAATGGATTTAAAGTCGAGCCGAAATGACTGCAATCAAGTGCTAAACGAAACAATGTAATTTTAAGAATTGCTTACCAAAAACACGCGGTAAAACTGACCAAGAGGAATTGAATTGTTTTGTAATCTGAGCTGAAATTTAATGCGTTCGAGATCGGCCCTTTCTTTGCCCAAACACGATTACTGGGAATTAGTTTGGTTTTTGGTAAGAATTTGTAGTTACTCATCAACTCATGTCTGTAGGTTTTTATATACATATATGCGAACACACGATGGAAGGTAGCTTACATAACAAATTACGATACTGTCTAGTTTTATATATGCATACAATACACTAGCCGAGTATTTCTTATACAGACGTCTAGTTTAGTACTATGTAAACGGAGCATATGTGGTATTCGCTTTTAAACAAACTGAATTGTTAAATTAGTTATTCTTTCAAGCAAACGCAATACAAATGGTCAAATATCGTGCAGAGGTGTCGGTGTCCAAATTGCAAACAAACTGCTCGCTGGATATTAAGTGGATTTTAGTTAATTTTAAAACAATTGTATTCTTGCAGCTGCTTTTCTAAACAACTAAAACTACAAATGCCCAAGCCAGCTTAAGCAATAGACAATATACTATAAACAAAGACTTTTTTCTAAACCGCTTGAAAATGTCCAATAAAATATTCAGAAGCAGTTGACCGGTTTTAAAAATGATTATTTAAGATAAATATGTATTTTAAAATAACAAAATTGCAACGCAAGAAAAGTAAGAATTAACCGTCTAAAATGTTTTTAAAATTGTATATTTTAGGATTTCAAACGAGATGAATGAATTGTTTTTGTATTGTGTCCTATTTCTTGTTATTTTATTTCTCCAATAATTTTAGATAAACAAAAATAAACGATGACAAAAATAAACAAATTTGAAGAATAAAAATTGTTGTTTGAATTAAAAATATTTTTAGGTTCAACGTTCTCTAATAAATTTGAATGGGATTATAATGAATGCCAAAATTATAATGAAAGTCGTAGATTTCATATGTGCATATAAATATACTTACTCTTGTTTAGGAAAACGCAATACTGCTTTCTCTCTTTCAGTTTTAAATTTTGTGATTATTGTTTTTAAATTCGTTCTATGCATATTAGATCAGCTAACTGGAATATTTAATATTATTCGTGGACATAATTGAATTCAAGGCCCAAGTGTAACGAATGAGATGGAAACATGGATATTTTCGATGGAAGTAAACGAAGTACGAAAGTGGAATTTGTTAAATGTATATCTTAGATATACAATATTTGAATAATAATTGTAATTACAAAACAAAAGCAAAACAATGTTGTTATATGCGGGAATGTGTGAGTGAAGTGTGGGTGTTTCTCCAGCCATAAAAATGTTTGTTTGGGGATAAAAAGGAAACGTCAATTGGGTTTCGTATAACACTGAAAACGCAATCAAAAAACGCAATTAAATTCAACAAACTGGTGACTCTGAAGTCGAATCAACTTGAAAGGTACTTGAAAAAATGATGATATATATGTTGTGTTTTAGATAAATACAAAATATTTTTCTTGAAATAAAAAAACGGGTTTTCAATACATTGTCTATTTGAATTTTTATAGTGGTTTCTCCGATTGTTTTAAAATTTGGGCATATTTTGGCCACGTTGAGGCTGTTAAATGTAAAAAGATAGATAATGTTAAATGTTTTTAGCCAATCTTTTTCTGCAGTGCGGTATGCAGCTATATTTTAATCCATGTTGGTCACTGAGTATAAAAAATACATGTGCAGGGGGGAACTCACGAAGAGAGCCAACAAAAAGCGCAATAAAATGAAGCAAAACTAATGAAATTATTTGAAATAGGAATGTACACAACAAGTTTTAGCTGAAACAAAACAAACACAACTGCCATAAATATTTTCCACAAAGAAAAACAAAACGAAACAATTTCACGGTGGAAAAATCACACTTCACAATCTGTAAACAAATGCTATTAAATATTTATGCAGTTTGGGTAATAAATAAATGGATTTTTAAGTTTTTATGCAAGCGGGAATCGGAGGTCATAATTTTACAAATGGTCTGAAAGAAAAACAAGAAAATAAATGATTGTGTAATTAAATAGTTGGGCCCTTCAATTAGGATAAGCTGTAACGCAAAAATTAAATTTTTTGTTGAAATTTTGAAACAAATCTCTGCAACACCTTTGAGAGTTATAAACTATTATTAAACGGAAAGGGCTGAGCGATTCGTTAGTATCGTAAATAAATATGCCAGCTCTTCGATACAACAAATTTTCTGTTGCCTAACCTCAAAAAAACAGGCAAAGATATATGTACCGAAAACTTCTAAAGAGATGGCCAAACAAAAGCCTATTAATTATTATGATTGTTATTAACCTTTGGATTGTGCATTACTTAGCACGTCTGGTTTCTGGCTGGCTACCTCATCGCATGAAAATGTTCAGTTTTAATTTCCGTTTCCATTCAAAAATTTTTGAAGTGCCCGTGAGCTCCAAAATCTCGTGCTATTCTGGAGGGGATTTTCGGTTTTTATATAGAATTGTTGTGGATCTTTTTGTGTTTGGGGCTTAGTCGGGCACTTAAAAATGGCTTTATTTATGGGCTTTTATCATTTCAACTTTCCCAGGATTTGTGATATGGCCATAAACAAATAATGCCTAATGTGCATTAACTCATAAACAATGCAAATCAGTATGAGTATTTACGAAAAGTGATTGAAGCAATCCGGACACTTGAATTTATTCACCACATTGCCACTGGTACTTGAGGGCACTTGGCTCCTCGTGATAAATGGCACTATATTCATCGATCGCATTTGCCAAGGCCCCTCCATTTCTTCTCAGTACGTCAATGAAGAGTTTTCAGCTTCTCGATTGCCATTCAGTCCTCGAGCACCAAGATACATTTGTCATTTGCTGCCGCCGCCAATTATAAACATTGGGCATGTGTGTGCATATATCATTACTTTATGGAATGTTTGTGGTCGATTGACAACTTGCAGTACTTGAGATTATTTACTTAGTGCTGTGGACTGGAATGTTTCTCAAGTAATGGGCAAGAAAGGAAATATCTATAAATTTACAAAATCCATACTTAAGAAACAAACCTGCGTGTGTGTAATACTTTGACTTCAATGCTGTGGATACATTCTTTTAAAGTTATAATACAAGCTCGGGTTGTACACATCATACATGGGATGTTTCATAACGATGTGCTTGAAGTGCCATCGTTCAGCGAGCAAAGTTAGTATCGAGATGACGTAACCAACACACAAGGCCACAAAAGAGCTCCAGAATTTTTGAATATTCATCAGGGCCTCCTGTTGGGCCACAGCCTCCGCCGGCAGATGCTGTATGGCATCCTTCAGCCACTTGGATATCAGACCTGTGTGACGACACATCAAATGGCATGGAATTCAAACAGGATAGAGGATGCAAATCCACTGACCGCCCTCCGCCAGATGTTGTATGGAGCCATCTATGCGCGGCTTCAGGGCCGAGTTCTTCTCCATGGCCAGCACTACGGGCATATGGAGCACACATTCCTTCATGATGTGTAGAGCTGATCCGGATTCGTCTGTCACTCGTAAGTAGCGCAGATAAAACTCGTTGTCATAGTAGGCGCACTGACCTTTGGCAATGCGAGAGGTCTACAAAAATGAATAATACCATAAAATATAATGTAAAAACAGCTGAAAAGTGTACGACTATATATACAATTAGGTTTTATGCTACTAAAACCAAATAGCCATGACCCTCTTTTCGACTGAGCTTCAAATGCAAAACAAAGTTATCCGCCCAAAGCCATTAAGTCGACGGAATACTTTCCATATCACACTAGATTATTTTGCCAACTTGATGAATTAATACCGTTGAATTAAAAATGTTGCCAAATACGCTTATCACATAGATAAGATATTTGGCGTTGGAAACAAGTTGAAACTGGTTTTTGTTTTTCTATCCGCTGGTATAAAGTTCATTGCTACAAAATGTTGATAACCAGAGCGGTTACAAATCGGGGCAAGCTTATAAGTCGGTATGGTTGAAATCGAAAATTAGTTAGTTAGTTTTACTACCCAACTAAGTCAGTGGAAATTTGACAGTATTACTCAAATAGCAAAGTCTTACCAAATCGTCGCTGTATCCGATCACCTCCATCTTTTCGCCAACTTTCCGAGCAATCTCATCATTGGCACCCAGAAAGAACTGTCTGTTCTCATTGGCCCCAGCAGATGGCGGTATATGGGATCGCAGCAGATCCTCCAGTGTGTCTATAGTAACCCTATATAATCAAGCATACGATCAATAAATTCCCAGAACTATATTTCCGCGATTCCTGTCAGATGGGAAGCTTACCTGGCAGCCGGGTTGGCCAAAATGGCAGTGAAGCTGGCCCTATATGTGGCCACCAAGAGGATGCAGTAGATCCAGTACCAGCCAGTGAGTACCCTCAGTGGCCAGTTTCGAGGCATTCGTGGTAGAGCCACATAGAGGAGCATGCTGTAGGTGAGCAGGATGCAGTTGGCATAGCCGTCGAATAGATCGCGGGGTATCCGATCCTCTCTAGATGGCCGATAGCGACTAATGGCAATGCGAAAACTAATGCGCCGATAGATCTTCGGATCCATGGGCAGTGTGCGCTTTTGTCGCAGGCAACGAAAGAACTCGGAGGACACATTTCCATTGATAATGGCGTTCAGGAAGCTGATGGCATAGAAAACAGTGCCCACCACAAAAAGTGAGAGCAGTACACCCGCCCACATGCCGGCGCTGAAGGGCAGGATGAAGGTCTGCCAGGAGTTATCCGTCGAGGATTCCGGTGTGAGAAAGGTCAGGCACTCGAAATTGTGCGGCGCACTTAGCTCCACTAATTTCAGATACACCTGGAACGGATGCAAGTCCCCAATGGCAAAGCGGGCACTGTGGTCAGCCTGTGCAGATTAAAGCATTAATAAGTCAACAGTTTGGCTAATGACATACCATAATCATATTCCAAGGGCCCTTTTTTTAATCCCCACTTACCACCTCATTCACAAGCATCGAGTCAATGTGTGTGCCGTTCTGGCCGTATGCATCCGGATCAGCATTTCCATCGGCAGCACCGTCCAGCTCCCAGTCCATATTCTCAGTTTGATTCGGCTTGTAGTAGACGGGCCTGAAGTTCAAGGCCTTGCCCAGGGCATTCATGATCTCCACCTCAACTCCTTGGAAGCTGTTTGTCGCATTCGCCCAAAGAACCATGGGCACGTGCTCGGAAATGGCCACGGGCAAGGGGGTTCCTGAGGCATTCAATAATATTTTCAGAAAACATAGTTTATAATATCTTATTTAAATAGCAACTGTAACTCACCGAATAAGTTACTCGTTTTGTCAGCAAATAAAATACTGCCATTCACACCCTTGCCCAATTCCCAATTAACAATATTCTTCGTTACCAAAACGCCACTCAAAATGCCCGGAAAAGCTATGGTAGAAATGGTATACCTTTCAAGAATAATAACCAAATTAACACCATTAATTAAGGGAACGTTGCATATGTCACACACTTGTTGTCCAACTGCCTTTTGAGGAAAATGGCGCCGATAAAAACGCTCCATAGGTGTATCATATCGCTCTCAAAAAGCCGCGAATCGTGTAATAATACCAACTTTTTCTGCATATTCAAGGATCTATTCTCGTAGATATAGCCAAGAAATCGCTGCACCTGCCAGCCATTTAGAATGGTGATGATAGTGAGGTCACAATCACTGGATTTGATGGCGCCAACGAAGAGCTCAACTTGTTTGGAAGGTCGCTGCAGATCCTCACTGGCATTGGACCGCATCACAAAGATGGGTTTTACTTGGCGACCCACCGATTCGAAAAATATGCGATCGTATATGGGATAGTGCAGATCATCCGTGATGACGCCAAAGCATCGCTTCACATTGGCAACCCACAGGATTTTCTGTAGCAATATTTTCAGATGCATCTCGTAACCATTTAGTGGCGGCTGGTTGGGATTGGGAATTAAGATGGCCATCGCCAGGGATATGTACGCCCCAATCAGAATCCCCAGCCAGCGCATCCTTTCGCCGCCAAACGCAAACTGTTGGCCACTTCTCCGCTCCGGCAGTTCGTTAACCTGTTTACCGGAACAGAGCCCTCGAGTCCTCATTGCATATGCAGATCTAATTAAACTTGTCCGAACTCCGTGAACCGGGAGACCCGGACTGTCAGCCAGTCAGCCAGCCAGTCAGCCAGTCAGTCAGTCACTCATCAACCTGATTTACTCGCATTCCGACTTTCCACCGACTTTCCACAGGGCTATCTAATTAAAGTTTTGCGGCCCAGGGGTTAATAAGTTTAACCAGATAATGTGTCCAAGGTTGGTGGGAATCCCTTTTTTCAGTTGGGTGTTGTAATGACACGTCCTCAACGGAGTTTTTACTGGGCACTTTTAGCATTTTACGATTTATGTTTAACATTGCTCTTTGTTCTATAAGTAAAATATGTATTTTATCTAAAGTCCATAACTCCACTTATCTTAATCGGAATTCGAAGTGGCATACCTCTAAATGTTTCTGGAGCAATTCTCTAAAAATCTGCATTCATATTTAAAATTTTATTTTTTTTAATTTTTTTTGAAGTTTTTTTTATGTTACGATATTGTAAAAATTCAAAAAATTAAATAAATGTCACAAAGCGGAAGTTCGAAAGTCCATAACTTAACTTATGTTATTCGGATTTTGAAGTGATTAGTCTTGTAGTTAGTTTTCATCGATTTGCCAAAATTCGTTTCACTACGCCCACTCTACCGCCCACAATCCGCACAAAACTGTCACGACCACGCGTTTAAAAATTTTATAAAATTTTTTTTACGCAATTTCTGCCGTTGTTCCAGAAAATGTTGAAATTTCTCGTTTGCTCTTTCACAGGCTGAGTAACGGGTATCTAATAGTCGGGGAACTCGACTATAGCATTCTATCTGGTTTTTACTTAAAGTACCTAGCATATGAAACTCTACCTGTCATCCCCTGCAACCAAAATGACCTACATAAGATCTACCTTTTTACAAAATAAAGAAAACCCGGATGACCTAATCAAACAGACGATCAATCAGTACCTAAAGCAGCCAACGATAACATCTCGCAACCAAAACAAAGCCATGGCAACCAGCTCACCCAAGAATCAGTCCAATACGAGAAGAAACCAATGTGGCAATCAGGCGTCATTAAATTTCATTTAATCGGTACGCCACTGATTGAGATCTGTGGCGAAAGTAGTGGCTGCGATCCGATGTTGTCACTAATTCGATGACTGCCCAACGACCAGACAATTGGATCAGACCAATTTATCATAAGGCCATAACTAATCCGTCCGTCGGTCTTCATTAGCGGAGACACGAAATCGGAGGCCGGACCAGTGGTTGGATGATATGAGGTTGAGTGCCGCCTGCTGATGAGTTGCTGCAGTCGCGAAATCAGCAAATTGCGATCATCCGCAGTCAAGGCCCGGTCCACACTAACGATATTGTAATGCGGACGACGACGACGTGTCACTGGAGACATAAGACTCAGCCCAGTCTGTCCGTTCTGCTCAGTCCAGTCCAGTCCAGTCCAGTCCAGCCGATTTAAGCGCCCAGAAGCCGCATTCAAATACCCATTAATGTCAGCTCAAGTCAGCCGGTGAGTCGGAGCCAATCAGCCTGCGGATGTGATGGGTGATGCGATGGGATTCGGTGTGGGCAGGTAACCAGTGGTCTGTTGCCAGTTGCCAGTTGCAAGTTAGCCAGTCTTACTTAGCCATATCCATTCCCGTTCTTCTGCGCTTTATTGTCGTATAATTAACTTTTTCCGAATCGTCCGGATTTGGAATTGTTTGCACATAATTGCAATTTAATTATTTTCTCTCGCTCGTTTTCCTTTTCATGTTTTTATGGATTTATGTTGGTCGCGCGGTCTGCTGGCCATTAGCTGGGTAACAGGTAACACCCGGGCCCTGCGACCAAGAGACTAATGCCAATACCGGGCTCACAACCATAACCACATCCACATCCACACTCACATCCACATCCATATCCATCCCATGTCCAACCTGGCAGGCGCGGCAGGTAGGTAGCGAAATCGATTTCGGACGCCCCCGGACCGCTTCCCATGTCCAAGTGTCAGCCGGTGCCGGGTTTATTCTCTGGACCGACACTGCGCAAAATCGGGATGGCTCTGGAAATGTCACACCTTTAAGCTATATATGGAAAAGGTATATCCCTTCATTAAATTACAAAAATTTCTATATCACTTATAATGTTTTAACACCAAGCCCCTTCATATAATCCGTTCAAGCTTAATTTCTTCAAATTTCTTCCTTAACTTTTCAAGTTTAATTTCAAGTTTAATTTCTTCTATAATTTCTTGAATTTGATACAACAGGAATTTGATGTAATTCACTGGCCAACCATATACAATTTAGATCCTAACTTAAATATGTGTAGTACAAGCATGCCAAGCTTTATAAATAAGTGAGTACTTATAGATTAAAACTTTACTTTCCAACTTAATGTGACACTTATAAAAAGGTGGTTATAGATAAAACCCTACTTTCAACCTAATGTGACACTTTTTACAACATAAACGATTCTGTTTTGGCTCAGAAATGTTGACTTCTAACAAATATATTTTTCAAATGTGCAGTAGTAGTTTTGTGCAGTGTAGTCCGTTTCAGTGCTCCTAACGAGTGCATCGCATGCGATGGGAACGAGCGGAGATTTTCGGCAGGGATGTGGGAGTACCAGAAGTAGAATCAGGGTCCAGCCGAGTGGAAAACATTTTGCACTTTTATGGCCCAGATTCACTTGGTCCACGATCCATGGCCAGAATTGGTGGGAACAACAACAACAACAAAGAGAGAGAGAGAGAGAGAGAGAGAGCAGGGCTTGCCGTTGTTTGCATTGACACATTTTCTATTATTGTTTTTCTTGCGAGATTTTCTCAGCAGAATTTATGGGTTCCTTGAGGTTTCCTCTTCGCCTGATCCCCGTGCACATGAGTCCGAACATTCAAGGATTCAAGGATCCGGGTGCTCGGGGACTTGGCCATTCGATATGCTTCTGTTTTAATTCCTACCAAATATTTTATGCGAATTTGGCAGTTTATTGTTGTCGGCTTTGGCTTACAGTGTGAAATGTAACAAATTTTCATCACCATGCGCGTGTGCGTGTGCGTGTTCGTGTGCGTGTGCGTGTGCGTGTGCCGGTGTCCTGGGAAATAATTCAACAGTTTTCCCACCTTCTGCTTCGGTTCGGCCGGCAAGTTTTTCCTCTTCAGCAACAATTTTCCACTGATTTATTGCCCCAGCTGTGGCCCACCAACCATCTTTATCTGCAAATATGTGGGAGTTTTCTGGTTGTTCTTCTTTCTTCTGGCTTTTTTTCTTTTGTTTCCGAGCGAGTTAAGCTCTTCAGTTACTTACAGTTTACAGGGCGGGAATGATATATGTATATTATAAAGTCCAGCCAAAGTTTATTTCTAGTTCATTGACAAAAGTTCGGTTCACACGCTGGGGAATCGAAAAACATGTATTTATCTTCCCACTTCTGATTAGTGAATCAGTTTGGAGAACTGGCTTAATATGCAAATCGAATTTTGCCAACTTTATTTATATACTTTTCGTTTATGCATATACTTTTTTATCAATTTACATGTGTCGCTGGCTAATTTATTCATTAATTGGAACATGTCGTTGACAATTTATGTAATCCTCTTAACATATCAATGTTCATTTAAATTACACTTCTGACGGATGTTTTGATCATCTGCTCAATGATGTTGGCCTGATTTATGTTTTCGATTTTCACCTGGTAGGTTCTAGTTTCAGTCCTCTTGGGGAAAGACAACTGAAACCAATAATTATGTGCATAAACTTAGTAGTGAATCACCTCGAGTTTCACATTAATTTGGTGAATACTAACACTCATAACACTATGAATATCTGTTAATATCTATGCAATGACATATTTCTTATAAGCATAATGGCAGAGGTAGACACGATTTTTGTTTATATAAGCCTGATAGGGGAGAACCGGCGATATGGTCAGTAATCAGCAATAAGTAAAAGTGGAATATGTATACACATATGTACCGAATCTAATCAATCTGCGTGGCAGACAGCTGTATTATCTGACCAAACTGGCGACTATTTGAACTAATTTCATTATCTTAATGAGGACGTTATTAAATTATTCACGTTTACAAAAACGCCGGTCGATTCCATTCCATTCGCTTCGTTTCGTTTCGATTCGATTCGAGCAGAGTCGAGTCGAGTCGAACACGTTGTCCAATATCAATGACTAATCTATGAATCTATGTGCAAACAGCGCACACGGGTCGTATACGTATTCCAGCTCCATTGTACTATATTATACACAGATATCTGCCACTAGCCAGTGTGCTTGTGTTTGTGCTCCATTGAATAAAACTTAATCAGCATTTAATTAAATGCACAGAGAACAAGGCGACTGCCATTTGGCTAGTGATGTGGCGGGGGGAGGGGGGTGGGGTGGTAAAAGGGGTGGCTGGGTGGTAAAAAGCGATTTCGTTGATTATGTAAATCAATTGAGCAGCGAGATAAAAACGCGTCTTTCCTTTTTTTCCACCCATTTCGTTTTTGCTGATAAATCGAAATCGTTCTTTGGCATTATTTTCCGTTTTTCTTGTCCCATTCCTCGTTTTTGTGTTTTTCACTGGCGGCGGCTTTGACTGGTAATGTTTTTTATATAATCACTTTGTCCGTCGTTGTTTGCCGAGCATTTCATTTCATTTCATTTTATTTTATTTTTCCAATAGACCCATTGTTTTCTGCATGTGTGTCTAAAGCGAAAATCATGACAGCGAGCCTCTTTTTATGCCCTTTCGAAAGAGTCCCTGCCACTTTTGACCAAGCAAATCAGAAGATTCCTACAAAATACTTCAATTCTATAACTTCTATGTGCTGTATAGCAACTCTAGACTTTATATGGTTTATCCAAAAAATTATAAGTAAATATAACAAAGTGTATTTGCAACTTGCTACCCTTCGGCTTGGTTTTTATATAACAATAATGGAAACTAGAAAAGTGCTTTGATTTGCAAAATTGAGACGGGTAATAATATGCGCTCGGCGGAGTCCAGATAAATGGCCCTATATACATATATATGCAGATATATATATACATTTGGATTTAGTGCTCCATTGAGCAAATTGTCCACAGGCTAAGGGTAAAACTTCCGACAATCCATGCAAATGGAACTGTTTAAATGGATCCGCAAATGGACAGTGGTCAATGCGTTTGTTTTTTATTTCCGTATTGTTGTCCACTGGAGCAGTTACATAATGCCCCATTATA